CCTCTGGCCACCTCGGCAATCAGAATATTGGGCCTATGAAAAACCCACACATATCTCCATGTCTGTCAAAAGTGCAGACCCGTATCAAAAAGAAGTTTTGGCCTATCTTTACTCCTTATGGTTACCACTGGTAGTCTTATCTTAATAAATTAACTTACATCCACATTAGGCTTTTTCTGCTCGCCTTTGCTTCTCATTCCAATACAATACATCTCTACAGTGCACGCGTCTTTTCATAATTTCCTCCCTCACCATCAACTAGTTCATAGACATTCAACTTGCCTGGTGAAAGCTCCTTCTTCTCCAAAGTAATGGAGGTAACATCCCGAGCTTGAGAATAACCCACAGTCTTATGTGTCCCCTTTCTAGATTTGTTAACTTAAGGATTATATTCATCAGTATTACTCAGGTAAACGTTACCTTAGGGTCCTGGACGAATGCTTCCCATCATGTTTGCAAAAATGTGTCTCAACTATTACAAGCAGAAGTTCCCTATAATTAAAAAAACAAAATGTTAATTACTTGCCTCCTTATGAAAATTTAACCACTTCTAATTTGTGAACTAGCTTTAATAAGTGACATAAGACAGTGCTCCGGCATCGATTGTGGCATCCGCCGTCTAGTTCTCCGGGATTGGTTGGTGGGTATTACAATCATAATCCATAGGAAGTTTACAGGATTTCAAACATCAAATACAACCTCCTCTTGACCTACCCTTAAGGTTAATTTTCCTTCATGCACATCAATCAATGCTCTTGCAGTTGCAAGAAAGGGTCTTCCAAGGATTAAGGATCCTTCTCTACCTTCATCAATGTCAAGAATCAAAAAATCAACAGGAAAAATGAATTTTCCTACCTTAACATGCACGTCTTCTACAATCCCTTTCGGATATTTGATTGATCGATTTGCCAACTGCAGAGACATCCTGGTTGGTTTTAGCTCCCCATTCCTAGCATCTTAAAAACTTCATAAGACATAAGATTTATGCTAGCTCCTAAATCTGCTAAAGCTTTTTCAAAATTAAGATTTCCAATATTCCAAGGGATAGAAAAACTTCTTGGATCCTTTAATTTAGGAGGCAATTTATTCTGAATGATTGCACTACACTCCTCTATTAACATAACCATTCCTTGATCATCGATCCTTCTTTTCTTACTCAGGATTTCTTTAAGAATTTTGCATAGCTGTGCATTTGAGCAAGAGCTTCAGCAAAAGGTATGTTAATTTGAAGCTTTTTGAAGACGTTAAGAAATTTGAGGACACTTTTGTCGTCTTGTGTCTTCTTTAACCTTTGTGGAAAAAGGACAGGTGGAACCTAAGGTTTCACTTCTTCCTTCTCTTCTAGGTCAATGATGGGAACCTTTCTCTGCTCTTCCTTTTCTCTCTCAATCCTAGGCGTTTCCTCCAACTATTTGTCACTCCTCAAGGTAATGGCTTGTACCTGTTCTTTAGGATTTTTCTCAGTATTACTAGGTAACGTACCTTAGGGTCGGGATGCCATCATGTTTGCAAATTGTCCTAGCTAAATCTCCAAGTTTCTTATCGTAGCTTGTTGGATTTTATTATTTTCTCGGGTTTCGTTCATGAAATCCATGTGCGATTTAGAGAGGGCGCAATAAGGAGATCATCATGAGACTTTTTCTCTAGAGGTAGGGAACCTGGTGGTGCATTAAAGGTGTTATTTGGATTTCTGTATGAAAGATTAGGATGATTTCTCAACCTATTATCATAAGAGTTATACGGGTAACTTCTCCTTCCTTGATTCATCACATAGTTTGCTTGCTCCAAAGTTTGTGGATTTACAGATGCTAACATTCATTCTCCAATCCCATGTTGTTCATTACATCTTTCACAAGCTTGTACAATGGAATTCACAGAGTTAGTAGTCAATAAGTCTAACTTTCTTACCATATTGTCTACCTTGGCGTTCAGCGTGATGATGGCATCAATCTCATAAATTCCTGCAGTTTTCCTCCTCTCGGAGGTGCTTTGATAATGACTATTGCTTGCCATTTCTTCTATCAAATCATATGCCTCATCGATCTCTTTTCTTTCAAAAGATCCTCCTGTAGCTGCATCCAGAGTAATCTTAATGTGAGGAGACAATGCATTATAAAAAGTTTGAACTTGTAACTGTAACATCCCTTCCCGGTCCACCCGTTAACCCGAATGAACCGAACCGAGACGCTACAAACTGGTTGACTTTATGGCCTGTCATGCTGATATCTCCAAGCAATAAAGGAATCATCAAATAACAGAAAGGTACAGAGAATAACCATCGTTTAGACACGCACAATAGAAAAAACAGATACCAAAACTCCGTAACGAGAAAAAATAGAGGCAATTAATAACGAGGATGCCTTAAATGAAAACGATCTCTCAAAAAAAAACTGGGACAAGAATTTAAGAGAGGCCCAATACTCCGATGTAAACCGAACCGTAACGCTACATCTTTATTTCAAAAGAAAGAAACAGCGTACCAACTGGTTGACCATTTTATGGCTCTGTCATCGCTGAGAATGCAATTGAAAACTCCATAGAGCAAAAAGCAGGCAGAGATGGGAGACTAGAGATAAGAGACTAAGATAGAGTAAGAGGAATGAGGGAAAGTTTCAATTAATATCACAGAAACATAAAACAACCACTAAATTCATCAAAGCTGATCATATGCCTAATTTGGTCAACACAAAAGTACTTTACATGCTTAATTAAATTAAAACTTGTATAACACCAACAGACATAACTAATTACTGTACTATAATTTATTCAAAATGGAAAACATGGGCCCACTGTGTGAACCCTGTTTTAAAAACAAGATTTTAAACACATGCCATCGCAAAAAGAAGAATTTACACGTACACCCAAAGAAATACACAATCAAAATGAGTAGCTCCCCCTGAAGACTGAGTCTTCAAGGTAATAGAAACACAATCCTTTAAGGAAACGAAGCACAAGAAACCAAAGCAAAGGAGTGAACTGAACATTTTAACACATACCCATATTTCAATTCTTGATGATTTGTGAATCTCCTAGGAGATTTGTAAGCTGACTCTCTGACGGTCAGCTACAATTTCTCCTTGGTTGAAATCTCAAAACCTGCGAAGATTCACAACCAACAAGCAAGAGGTATACAACCACACTATATTAGTAATATGAGTGTATCACTTATATATCGCTGGACAATACAGACAACTAAGCTCTGGTTTTCGCTTGACCAGTATCATTAAGCACATACGGATGATTGAAGAAGTAACCAATCTAACCTTGGCACAATTAGAGCCACCCACATATCTTCTTTCTTTTTTGATTATTTGTCTCTTACTGTTTATTAATACTGTATGTTTGCTAATGTTATGTCAAGATATCTGTAATGGCTCCCATAAGGTTTATACTGAAACCGAAGTGTAAGAAAAACTTATGAAAACTGGATTTGAAACTGTATGACTTTGGGCTGCTAATGGCCCATATATATCATATCCACTCATACGCCTGTAGCCGGAGTACCAACTGTAATGGGGGTTGCAAGATCTGCCTAGTCCTATGTCGGCGACATAGCCTTATCTACATGGTTTCTCTCTCATGGAGCATATGTTGGTATTCTAGTATACAGTTTGTTTTTTTCTAATCATATTGTTTTTACTTTGGTTTCTCATTTTTCATGCTTTGCATGTTCTGTTTTGATACATGTTTCTATCGTTGTCTTTTTGTTTTTTACATGTTGGAGGTCATTTGAGAGGATCTAGCATAGATCTGAAGTCCAAAAGAGCATCAACATAAGTGCGAGCGCCCGCCATGCAAAGTCGCGCCCGTCACGAAAAAAAAAAAAAAGATATCCCCTTAGCAGAGAGAATCGCACACAAGTTATAAGGCGGTCACAGCCCAAATTTTCGCTCTTACAGAGCAAAGGAACATGAAGTTCTTTTTATAGCAAATTAATTGTGGTTCGCGCGCGTCTATTTGTCCCTAGTTCCGGAGTTCGGCTTGCGAGACGGCGTGAAATTCGCGAGCGCGATTTCAAAACGCGGTTTTTCGCAGGCTGCACAGTCGTTGCTTGGGTTTTCCCATATCTTTTTCTCCGCTATTGGTTGTTTTTCCCTTTCTACATGTAAGATAAAAACACATAGAAGGAACAATAATTCTTTCTACCTGACAACTTTGAATCCCTAATTCCATAATATTAAAATAGGGTCAAAATCAAAGGCTGAAAAAAGTTCCTGGTACATCTTTTTCCAGAAAACCTTTGTTTCAGCATAACTTCAAATATCTACTCTCAATTTAAATTCAGTTCATTCCCATACTTTCTCAACCATTTCTAGTTCCTCATCACTCAACATTAAAGCCTATAGGTATTGTCCTCATTATCAAACACAACACCACCCCACACAAGTTCTCATGCAAAGAAAAATGGTAAGATGACAAGAGATATCAAACCTTCACTCCAAAAAGCTTGAGCTCTTCTTTAGCTTCCTTTTTCTACCAATCTTTGAAACTCACTTCTCCTATACCATAAGAATTCTTATAAATTAAATCTCTACAATATAACTCAATTTAGAGGTTTGAATAACATAAGAGCTTCAAGAAAATTTCTACTTACTTGGAGAAAATTGAGGTTTGCCTTAATGCTTAAACTACGCATGAAATGGATTGGGAGAAAGGAAGGAAAAGGAAAGGAGATGAAGAGATGAGATAAAGATGAAATGGGAAAAAGTGAAATGATTATCCAACGGGTAGGCCATCAAAAATATCAAGGATTTTTATGTGAAACTTACTATGGTACCCTCAATTGGTCAAACAGGTTACAAACTTTAATACCCAAGCTTTATATTTTGATACAAGCAGTCCTAAACTTTGGATCTTTTTAACCTTCATGCAAATAAATCCACTTTCAAATAAATCCACTTCTAATCCCATTCTACCCCAACCGGGTTTGGTTCAACCCGACTCAACTCACCTCTATGAAATGACTCGACTCAGTAGGATGTCACAGTAACCACTTAGGCAAACTGTGGTGTGGGCATTTTCTCAATAAGTCCTTAAATCTTTCCCAAGCTTCGTACAAACTTTCTTAATCATAGTGGACGAAGGTCATTATCTCATTTGGCAATTTTGTAGTTTTTGAAGATGGAAAGAATTTTGCTAAAAATTTTTGAGCTAATTCTTCCCATGTTGTAAAACTTCCAGCAGGACATGATTGTAACCAAGGACATGATTGTAACCAGTGATCGTGCCTTGTTCCCTAAGAGTGAAAGGGAAGAGTCTTAATTTTATAAATGGCATCCTCAGAAACGCCATTTCTTTGAAAGTATCGCAAATCTCTCAAGAAAATTTGTGATAGTGTAAGCATTCAAATTTGTGATATGAGCATTTGGATCTTCACTAGGTAGACCTCCATATTGAATTGAGGTGGAAAGCATTTGAATAATTGCAGGTTTAATTTCAAAATTGTTAACTTCCACCCTAGGTCTAGTGATACTTGAAGTAGCTCCATTGAGGGAAGGTGTTGTGTACTCTCGCAAGGTGCAGACATTAGGTTGAGATCTGTTCTGAGGATTAATCTCAGAAGGTCTGTTCTGAATTTGAGGATTAATTTCATCATCCATGTTTACTTGCTGTTCTGGTCTGTTCTCACGTGCTCTTCTAGCAGCGTTGCTCCTACGGCAAGTCTTTTCAATTTCTGGATCAAAGATCAGGGGTTCAGTTCTACCTGATCTTCTTTGCATAAAAACCTGAAATAATCTTCCAGAAAAATTAAATAAACAAAAACAAATGTCTAAATTAATAATAGGATAATTCGTATTGATATTGATAACGCCAATCCCCGGCAACGGAGCCAAAAACTTGACAGTGCTTTCGCAAGTATACGAAATCGCTACAAGTAATATATGATGAGTAGAATATTGTTCCCATGAGGATTGTATACCAAGTACCAAAATTAGCTTAACCTATTATTATTTAAACGATAATTGATAGAAATTGTTTGCAGAATTTAGATTCAATAATTGAAAATAAGAAATTCAGCAAACAATTATTGATTAAAGAAATTAAGGATTAAAAACTACTAGGGATTTTGATTTCAATTAATTCTATCCAATTTATTTTATTAGTTCATTAATCAATTTTAATTGTTCAATCATTTTTAATTTGTCAGTAGAGAAAACCAACTCTAGAATCAGCTAACAAGCTCTCCCGATATATTATTAGCTATTTTTAACTCCGTTTAAACTACCTATGCTTCAATAGGCATAATTAAAATCACGAATTAAATCAATTAAGTGTTTTTGGTAGTTTTGTTTTATGAATTCATAAATTAAAGCTTGTTAATCATCTGAGAAAGCCCCCCAATGATCAAACGGCATATAGCTTCCGCATCAGTGTTATTATTCTCGCAACAATGTGTGAATCATTTAACATTTTTCATATCAAAATTCCTTTCTTACCTCGTAATGTTGTTCGATTATGAAATTGATCAATTCTATTGCGGAGAAATCCTGCCTGTTTGCATAGCATGTTAAGTTTCATTTTAATAAATCCAAACTTGAAAACAAACGAACAAATCTAAATATTATAAATTGGGAACACGTGCATTTCTGCCCTTAGTCATATGCATTATATGCCTAATATTCGGGGTAGGGGTTCACAAGTACTTAAATAAAACTCAATAATACTTGATAAATATTCCATAATCAATCAGAATAATGAAAAAAATAAACAAGATTAACAGTTTAGAAATAAGAACTAGTTAACAATTGGCTTTGGATGGCTTCCTTGAACCTTTGCACAACTCTTGAATACTTGCACTCTTGAAGAATTAAAACTATGTATAAGAAGAGAATGAGAGATATGTGAGATCTAGGATGAGATGGGATGGAATGGGATGATTTACAATGAACCCTTCCTCTCTTTATATAGACTTCTTGGGAGAGAAATCCATATGGTTTAGGGAATAAAGTCCACCTTAGTTAGGTAATAAAGTTCTCATTAGGCCTTAAGGGAATAAAGTCCACCTTGATTAGGTAATAAAGTTCTCATTAGGCCTTAAATTTCTCTCAATCATGACTTTCCCATGTGCATAGATTAGAACTTGCTTTGCATGTGAATAAAGTATCCAAGATGAGCTCATGAAAATGGTGGGAATTGGTTGGCAATTTTGACTCAAATCAGCTCTTGGTCTTTTGCACGGGCGTGCTGGGAAGCACGGTCTGGGCGTGCTGAACTTGGCTTTGTGGAGGGATCAGCACGAGCCGTGCTCAGAGCCACGCTTTGAATAAGGTCTTATGGCACGGGCGTGTCAAATAGCACGCTAAGGCGTGCTAGGCTCTAGAAGTTCAGGGTGAATGCAGCACGGGCGTGCTTCAGCAAGCACGCTATTGGGTTGATGTCTACTTTATGGCATGGGCGTGTTGTCTAGCACGGCTCGAGCGTGCTAGAGTCTGACTATCCACTTGGTTCTCCTTGGTTCCAGCACGGGCGTGCTGATGTGCACTGCTTGGGCGTGCTAGAGCCTTTTTGTTTTATTTTGTTCTTTTTTGTGCCAAAACCCTACAAATTTCCTTAAGATAAAGTGAATTGTGATTCAAGGAAGCTTTGAATAAAAACATAAACAAAACTAAATAAAAACTAATTTAAGGTAATTAAAATTACTAAAAATCCTAATAAAAATTATATTGAAAATACTATAAAAATAACACTATCAATTTCTTAGTTTATCTAATAGAAATTAATATAACCAATCAAAATCAAATTACTTTTATCTTTTCAACCAATAAAATTAAAATCTTTAAAAATATTATAATCTTACAATATTTAATATATGCCTTATTTAGTATATAATATAATAATATAATTTATTATTTTATCCGATACAATTTATACCTTATGTAGTATATAATTATAATTATATTATTTTAATTTATTCATAGGAATTTAGATTTAAATATGAAATTTAGGTATTGACCAATAAAATTAAAAATCCTTAATGATATTATATTCTTATCGTATTTAATAATATATCTATACAATAATAAAATTAAAATCTTTAAAAATATTATAATCTTACAATATTTAATATATGCCTTATTTAGTATATAATATAATTTATTATTTTATCCGATACAATTTATACCTTATTTAGTATATAATATAATTTATTATTTTATTCAATAGAATTTAGATTTAAATATGAAATTAGTATGACCAATAAAATTAAAATCCTTAATGATATTATATTCTTATCGTATTTAATATATATCTTATACAATATACTCCTTCGTCAAACTTTTTTTTGCTTATTATTTCTTTTTTAGATGTTCTAAAATGTTTGCAATGTTTTTAAATTTAGATATGTAAATAATTATTTATTTTTTCACAATAACATTTATGATTATTCATTAAATTAAGGACTTTTTTTAATATCTTAATGAGTTAAGGGTAAAAAATAAAAAATAACTTTTGTTGACTAAATTCTTAACATGCGTGTTTTGTTAAACCATACAAACAAAATGGGATGGAATGAGTATAATATATTTTTTAATTTATCCGATAGAATTTAGACAACCAATTAAAATTAAATTGCCATAACTTTTTAATCAATAATATTAAAATCCTTAATATAAACTTAGTTCGGGTATTTTTAGCATTCCTAATAAAATTCTTAATACGTAAGTTATAGATAGATTAAATTTAAAAAGTTTTTAAAATTAAAAAATTAAGGCGTTTCAAGATGACACATAATTTAATAATAATAATTATTCACAATAAATGTACGCTACTTCAACATCTTAGGACTCAAAACTCAACCTCAATTCCACAGGCAAAGGAATTAAACAAAAGCATCCCTTATTTTTTGGCTTATTCATATCTCTTTCAATTCATACAACATGAGATTCTAGTCCTCTCTGCTTCCTTGTTTTCCCTACAAACAAGTCTCTAGATTTTATGATCCCAGGAATAATGCCGATTATAGTAGTGAATGGAAATTGAGCAACAGCGTCTCTTCTACCCAGCGAAACAATTGCTGTTACTGAAGAAGCTGGCTTGTAAGCCACCATTTTGCTTTCTTTTCCTCCATTCATCAATAGCTTCAAGTTCCCTGCAACCACTTCAGCATGTTTCTGTGCCAAATACCCTTGTTTGATTTCCTGTTACAAGGCATTTCAGTAAAAACAACACTACATGACAGGCTGACTGACACAAGATGACTGCAATTTACGCCAAAGCAGAAACTGGGTTTTAACCATCCTTCAGCTGATATTGATATTTTATATTAATTTAATATTATGCTTCAGCTGCTCTAGTACAAGAGTATTTGTACTACCAAAAGTATTGGAGGATTTATTTATATTGATGTTCTCATAAATTACGTCATATTCATTCCAAAAATCATCTTCAAAATTTACCAGTCAGCTTTCAGCAAGACCTTTTAGAGAAGTTAGATTTGGTTAATTAGCTATAGCATGTCATACCAAATTTGCTCAAATAACTGACAAGTATATTTAATCTAATATCCCCTTCGACACAAAATAATAATCCACTTTTCTAATTTGGGTTGTCCTAAATTAAGTATCCGCCATTTTATTTTAATTAAAAATCAACAAGCAAAATTTTTTTTTGTTAATAATACCCTTCAAATGGCTTACATTGACTACTTGGCTACTTCCAACTAAAGGACAAAATTGGTAAATTAACAAAAAGCACTGCAATCCAATTCCAAAGACTTTTCTTAATTTGCATACCAAATTCAAACAGAATTATTGTTATAAGCAATGGGGACTGTGTTATTTTTCCCTTTCAATAAATTTAAATGTAGTTACCGTTGTTTTTTTTTAATTAATTAATTCCTAACTGCAGGATCATGATTCATGGAAAACACAAGAATGCTAGCAAAACCAATCCAAATTTTAAAACAATTTACAAGATTGAGTCCAGAACTTACCGGAATATTAGTAATATCTCCAATTGCATATATATTCTTTTGGCCCTTGACTCTTAGGTACTCGTCAACTGCCAAGCTTCCATTAGAATGCAAGTTATTCATCAGGATAGTATCTTGGAGCCATGCTGAGGCCAAAGGTTTTCCCGTGCATAAGAAATGACAATCTGCTTTGATAGTTTCTCCAGATGAAGTATGATATGTTTTGTTAGTACTGCTGTCTGATTCTGAAAAATGATTTAAATCAACCCGCTGCTCTAACTTCACATCAACATTCTTTGATCGTAACCATTTTAGTGTTTTATCAGCAGCTTTTGTTCCAATAAATTCCATCAACCTTGATCCATTATGCACCAGAGTAACCTTCTTTTCTGGGAAATCAACAGCAATTTCTCCTGCAAGTTCAACGCCAGTGGGACCTCCTCCAATGATCAAAATGGAATGAGCAGACCTGATCTTTTCATTTTCTGCCAGTGAATACAAAGAATTAATTTGTGCATAAATAGCATAACAGGAAGCAGATTATCGACCCTATTTTGCTTTAAATTTTCATGCAAATTGTCATTTCATTGAACTCAGTCACAAGACCATGATATCCTTTTGTACTGTTTTCTCCAATCCAAAATCCACTAGACTTATGCAGCAAGACAGTGACTTTAAGGAATTCAGACACTTGCCAACTAATGTACTAAACTATTAAGTAAATGATTAAGCATATAAGTACAATTTTATATGTACTGCTGTACAGCATTAAATTTAAGGGATCAGATAAAGATACATAACTTCCAGAATAGCTTTACCTGCTTGGTATTCAGCTAGTCTTTCAGTCCTACTTTTTGGGACAGAATCCACATGGCCAGTGGCAATGACAAGATAGTCATAGGGAATTACATGGCCATCTGCAGTCAATACATCTGTGTCAGTGATGTTTGTTGCCCAAGATGTAACAATTCGGCCATTTGTGAAGTAATCTCTATGATTTATCACTGATCTCTCCCCAGATGTTGGCTCCACCATTGCTCTCAAGGTTGCCCAAGTGATCTCAAAGTACTCCTTCCTGCTTTCAATATTTTGTTTACTAAGTGCAACTACTGTAAGCATTTAATAAGAAGAAACTTCTCTAAGTTTCTTTCAGGTTTGTTTTTTTAACTGCCACCATTGCATTACCATCTCGGTAAACAGGAAAAGGGGAGGAAGGAAGCCTTAACAATAAGACAAATAAAAATTGAAAAATTGAATACGTACACCTTGACCCCATTGTAATTATATTTGTTATACCTCTATATTAATGCCCTTCAATACAAGAACATAGCCAGGAAGAAGGGGCAAACAATTGTTGGCACATAGGGAAATTTCAATAGACAAACTGCAGCAGCAGACCTTTTATAATCATTCTTGCAATTTGCTGAATCAGTAGATTCGAATTATACTCTCTTAGTCTTATTGGTTCTTAACTGTTTTTGTTTTTCTCTTTTTTTGGCTACCCCATTTCTTCTGTCAATCATAAGTGTCTGTTGCTATCAAATTGGAATCGGCACACAAGCTTGCTAAAACACAATATTTAACTGCGCGAAAGGCATTTTCCCAGAAAACAAATATCAAATTTCCCAAGTCCGCTCCTAACTTTGCATGCTGCTTGATAAAAATATTAAAAAGGAAAGGCTTAAATTAATATAGAAGAGATGGCATCCTTCTAATTCATAAAAAAAAAACATAAGATTTTCAAATTTTCAACATAAAGCAGCAAAAGAGCATCATGATACAGCAAATGATAGAAGGAAAATCAAGAAAAGTAAAAAGGCGTGATCAAGGAATGCATACGGATCAATGAGGGTAACATCAGCGTCAAATTGAAGAGATCTGACGAGTAGAGAGCCTGCAATGCCCCCGCCTATCACCACTAACCTCTTCTTCTCTTCTCTGGATCCTTTCATTTCGTAATAAAGTTCTGCAAGAAATAATGAAAGGATATACAAAAGAATTGAGAGAGATAGAGCTGACAAAGAAAAGCAAACAGGTCAAATGAATTGTTGAGTTTGGAATTTGGAAGTTCGCCCCTTGAAGAACGGGCAGAATATTGACCCAGCGATGGACACGCTTCCTACTTTTCTTCCTGCTATCTCTTCAAAGTTTCGCTCGTTGGCCGCAATCCACATCATGAATTCCACGACATGAGTTGTCAAGAAAACTTTTTCTGCTATTTCTTTAAAATTTCTTTCGCTGCCGCAATCCACATCATAAATTCCACCACACAGAGTTGTGAAAAAAAAAAAAAAAAGGGTTAACCAATAAAAAAATACCTCAAACTTTCCGTGTTGTTAATGGTCACACTAAAACAACCTTTGTTTTTTTTTTGGGCATTCTAACTTTAAAACTTTGATATATTATCGCCCCACGTACAAAATTCACCTACAAACACTTTAGAGAAATTACTTGGTTTTAAACAGAGACCCACCGATGAAGATGGTCCTTGTCCTGGATTTGGCCACACCTTAACGGCTGTTGCTACAACCAACACTTGTAGACCTTGTCTACTTCTTTCATATGAAGAATACCCATTTGCAGGTCTGCGAGAGGAGAAAGTGACGTATTGAGGAAGGATATAGATGGAAATGAGTCCTATATATTAAAGGTATTTCAGTCATTTCATGTAAAATTCACGAATACTTTTTCAATGGAAGTTCTAATGTAACGCACACCGCCCAGTCCCGAGAAATCAACTGTGAAAGTCACCACGAAATAATTTATTCAAATAGTGAGAATGAATTAATATATTTTATAAACCTCAGACCAGAAATAATTTTTTCGGAAGGAAAAAATACCCATGCTTAGAGTCTCATAACAGTACTGGTCCTAATATTCAAGAATATAATATTTTTCTTTGACATTGAAAAAAAAAAATTAAAGAACCATAATTAAATTAAATATGATATTCAAATCGTAGTTTTCTAGAATTAGATTCTGTATATTTAACAAAATGTCAAACAGACTTCTAAAATAATCATGTAATTTGTTGGCAATATTCAGTAAGGTTTTAAAAAAAAATTGCCAAAAAATTATTAAAAAGAATGAAAAAAAAGTTGATTTCTTATGGAGCAAGCAAATAAAGATGCAAGTTATTAAAGAAAAAGCAAACTTGTATGAAAAGTAAATAAATAATTTAAATAAAAGAAAAAAGAATCACAATAAGATCATTAAGTTTTTTTGTTCCAATTTGTGAGGCATTTTCCTGGTAATTTATAACTCTACTTTCAGCTTCTTGTTAATTGAAGGTTCGCAAATTTCGATTCCATATTTGAAAATTTCTTTTAACCACTTGAGCTCTTTTAATTTGTCTTTAAGAATGGCAACCAATCTTGGTCGAGATCTCAGCAAACTTGATAATAATGTCGAAAGTGTGGCAATCAAGATGCCAACAAGCGTGTATTTCTGCTGGAAAACGACTATTCCTTCTCAAAGTTGAGAAGAAAAATTAAACAAGTTTAAACAAGCAAGTTATTTATTTTTTTTAAGGAAAAAATGAAAAATGAAAAATAAAAAACTTAATCCAAAACAAACAACACCTTGTCATATGATTTTGAGCAGCAATTCAAGGAAAATATTAAGTATAAAATGGACCATAATTCTGGAAGACTATGCATGGAAAAAGGAAACTAAGAAATAAATGTATATGTTATTTCTTTTTATTTATTATTAACTAATTTTCCTTTCCATATATGAATTTTCAATTAAAAAATTCTTTTTGTATTGGTTTTAACCTTTCCTTTGCATGTGTGAATTAAAATTTTTGCTTCATTATCGATGTGGTTTCTTGTTTATAAGTGATAATAACTCTGTATTACTGTCAGTTACCCTTTTAGTTAATTTTAATATTATTGGAATATAATTTTGAATTGTCTATCATATAGATGTTTAATTAAAATTTTTTTTTTTTGCAGTTTATTGATGGATTTTGATGAAACATATTGATGGATGTTCCTTTAAAGCAAATAATGATTCTACTAATCCAATAGAATTAACGTCATTTGCTTTCAGTACAAGTAGTAGACTTCAAAGTCGATTATGGACTTATGAAAACAAAGATATATTCATTTATTTATTGTTTCATTTATTTTTATTATATTAATGTAATTAAGTCATTATTGGAAAATAATTTTGAATTGTCTATCATATAGATGTTAATTAAAAATTTTTTTTTTTTGCCCAGTTTATTGATGGATTTTATGAAACATATTATGGATGTTCCTTTTAAAGCAAAAATAATGCATTCTACTAATCCAATAGAATTAAACGTCATTTGCTTTCAGTACAAGGGTAGTAGACTTTCTCAAAGTCGATATGGACTTATGAAAACAAAGATATTTCATTTATTTATTGTTTCATTTATTTTTATTATATTAAGTATTTTTATTATATTAATGTAATTATCTTACTTTGAAATAGATGGATCTTCATCATTAGCTACAGATTGTTATGCCATTATTTGTGATGATAATGGTGGTGGTTTGAAATATTCAGGTAATAATATTTTTACATTTATTGATTTTATCATTTGAGTTTTTTAGTTATTTTATTAATTTATTTTTGTCATAATTGCAATTAAAGAGCTATTACTATTACCCTTGAGTGACACATTATGATAAGAAGCACAACTTCGTAATTAAAATTTTAATTTATCATTTTTGAACATTTATTTATGTATTAATTTATTTTCATACGTTTAATGGAAAGATACTTTTTTTTAGTTCTTTTATTTATTGATTCAATATAATATAATTTTTAAACAATTTTGACATATGGGTAAATGGGTAGTTGCGTCTAATAGATACCCGTGGGTACCCATGGATAATGGGTACCAATGGGTATACCTAAACCCATTGGGTTTGGGCATGGTATAATATTGTCTACCTGATAATGTATTGGGTAGGGTATGCGGATAGGGATAGGGATAGGGTTTGGGTTTGGGTATGGGTACTGCACTACTTGACCTGCCACACCTTACCTTACTGTAAGACATGACATGTCGCCCGTAATATACTTAATACGCACTTAAGTCTTATAAATGCTTACTAAGTATACTACAATGCTTACTAAGATACTACAAGGGACTTAATAATGTTGATCTGTTCATTTATATCTTGTTAGAAAAGTAAATTTACTTATTAAATTGTAAAAACTCCTTTTGGTTCCTTTCATCTGTTATAAAGAGAATGTCTTTTTTTTTCTGTAATTTACTAAACATTATGAAAACATAAACTTTCCATTAAGCTCAATAGATTTCTTAAACATCAATTTATATTTTAGCAAAAACATTAAAATGGTTTCCACTAACCATTAAAGTTCCATAGCATCATGGATGGTTTAATTACATACTGAAATCCTTTTCAAACCTTAGATACATAATAGAAATTCATACAATCATAATTTACATGTATCTGCTCAAATAACATAGATGTTCTGTTAATGTTTAATGCATCATACATATTCCAAAAGAAGTTAAATATACAATAGCTACATCAGTAGCATATTATCTAAATCAAATAAAAATGATCCTCTCCTAGTTCTTTATCCTTGCCTTTTCCTGCGATAGCACAAAAGCAACTATCGCTAAGCATTTTGCTTAGTGGTGTACTATTATAAAATAAACACAAATTTATCAAATCAAAACCACAAATTTTATCAAATTCAAACTCTTTATTATGAAATAATGAATCAGAAGTCATAAACCCACCATGTTAAAGGAAATAAAGAAATAATTAATACATAATAATAATAATAATAATAATAGATAATAATAATAATAAATAATAATAATACCATTTAAAATCATAAATTCATAATTGTAGTCTTTAACAAGGCTTTTATTTTTAGAATCCCAATTCCCGATAGAATCAATTCCGAGGGCCATCAGTGTCTAATGTGCACATCTAGACCTGCTATCTACAACCTCAATCTGTAATATGATTTCAACAAAAGAGGGAGCAATCTACAACCTCAACATGGAGGGAGAATTTCATATCAATCATATATCATATAGTGATGATATCCATGTTCAATCGATCGTAATATCAACTTCAACAAATGAAGTGATATTCGGAGTAATAACCATGTCTATATCAGCTGTAAGACTTTTAAATCATTCCATTCATGTAATAATATTAAAATCACTGTGGGCAACATTTCCTTTCGCAAACACTACTAAAACCATTCAGTCACGGCCACCCCTCATACTACAGGAATCAATTGGCCAACATCCTCCTCTTTCAAGGTATAAGAATCATAAAATTCATTTACATATGGCATTAGGTCGTATGCTTTCAAAATAAGCTTTGTTCCCTTCAAAAATAAGCTTTGTCTTTAAAAACTGTAGGGAAATTCATTAATACTTTTTTATAATGTTATAGATTCATAAAGTAAATCCAATTGAAAAATCTTTTTGCAAAATCCAATCTTTCATTTTGTTTAAATAAAAAGTAGGAAAGCATAGTACACTAAACCTTGAGTAGAAGGCTCCCCTAAGCCTTTTTTCCTCTAGGCAACCACCCTCGTCCTCAACTCCCTTTCTCTCAGAAAGCTGTAGCATGAGATTAATACTCATATTAACTTCATACTACATAATATACACACATGCAACTTCTATAGGAATTGCAAATTAAGCATTAGAATGTAGTATCATGCTTTTTCTTTCATTTTCACTATGCTTGTTCCAAGTGCTCATATGACTTTAGTTTAAGCATTGAAACAAATTTAAGCATGAAACACTTCATATCCAACACTTAACCACATCCTAGAAATATAATCATACAATAGAAGTGAATAGCATGCTAAATTCGTTCAAGGTTTATGACATGCAGAATTTCAGCATTTGAGTAGCTGGTATTGCGTTGACTATATCTTGAATTTCCCTTATTCAATTGCCCTGAATTTTGACAGCATGTTCCCAACATCTTAGGGTACTGTTCTGGAAAATTTCATAACCCTGTAAAATTTCATAATTTTTAAAGCTCATTTGCATTTTCAAATGACATAATTATAGAATCTGAATTTCAGTTTTTCTCATGCTGAGCAGCCTACATTGATTTAATTATAACTCCATTTCCTTTTAGCCAATGGCCTTTCCCTTTTAACATGACCTACCCAACATCTCCGCCTATCTCCATATAAAATTTCATGAATTTTGAAGTTCATTTTCTTAGTCAAATAGGTCAATTACAGAAGTTGAATTTCAGGCAGCCCAACTGTAACAAGTCCAACAATGATATGTTTGCTTAAGCATTCTCAACTCACTTCCAGCACCAATTCATTCAATTCAACTCTTCTATTACTTACATAACATCATAATATAAGATATATCAGAATCCCTAGGTCATGGCATATCAAGTACAAACTCAAAATCGTCCATCACAACTCAAAATCGTCCATTCTTGGTGAATTATGCCAAATTTAGATTTGAATTCGATGCATAACTAGTTTCAACTCATCCTTAAATCACCTTAAGATCAATTCTAATCACTTCATCTTCAACCAAATCGAGAATGAACAGAGCAA